AAAAAATGTTTGGGACCTAAACTCCTGAATTTTCCCACCAAAATGGTTATCACTCAAGTCCAAATCAGTTAGTGAAGGAAGGGAGAATATCCAGGAAGGTATAATTCCATTCAAGTAGTTTGATGATAAGTTGAATGATTGTAGGGTTTGCAGTCTACTAATGTTGGATGGAATTGGACCAGTTAGAGAATTGGACGAAAAATCTAAGGTTGCAAGTTGCGTCCAGCTTCTGTTAAAGGATAAGAACTCGAGTTGGCCATTGAAGTTGTTATTTCTAAGTGAGAATCCCCTGAGCTTTCCGAATCTCAAGAGCTGAGAAATCGGTCCTTCAAGATTGTTATTACCAAACATCAAAATCTCTATGTTGGTGAGATTCCATAGAGGTCTAGGAATGGGCCCTGAGAGATTGGAATAACTCATCACCAGAAGAAGCAATGAAGTTAGCTGGCTTAATGATTCAGGTATCCTACCAGTAAAATTTACACCACTGAGATATATCCTCATGAGTGATGCACTGCTATTCCATTTGGTCATGGGAAACCTAACTGTGAGCTGGGGATTGGATGATAAATGAAGAAATTTCAAGTTGGAAAGGTGAAAAACTCTTTCGGGCAATATCCCACGTAATTGTGTGTATGGAAGCTGTAGAGTTGTTAAATATGAAGAGAAATTTAAAGGAATGGTGGACAAGATGTTCACACCGTAAAGGTCAAGCTCTCTTAATTGGGTCAAGTTCTTAAGGAGCAATTCAAAATTGTGAGGTCCAAATCTAAGCTCATATGGATTACTCTGGATATGAAGAACGTATAATTTAGAAAGGTGAGAGATTTCTGCCGGCCCTGGGAAGTCAAAAATTCAAGTTTGATTAGCTCTTGAATACAACAATAATAGCAGCAATGTACATGTAAGCATTTCACCTTGGCAAATGCAAGGAAGGACTTTGATAGATGAAAAAAGAAATCAACTTTAGCTCATATTTGTGGTCCTATTATGGTTGGTGAATGGTGGTGGTTGGAGTCATAGTAGTCCAACTATGTTTATATATATATATATATATATATATATATATATATATATCTTTATCCCAAAGTATTGTCCCATGTATCTTCAGCTTACTTCATTCTATTAGCTAAAATTTCATTCGCCACTTAAAATAAATAAATTGCTTATGTGTGTACATATTTTATTGGGCTGTACACCCATGCAAGTGAGCTCGGGTCTCGGGTGTGCAGGCAAGGTGTTTGATGAAATTCCTGAACCATGTGTTGTCTCGTATAATGTTGGGTTTTTGATGTTTTCTCACATGCCTTATAGAGATGTTTATTCATGGACTAGTATGATTCATGGGTACCTGAGGTTGCTGTTAAGTTTTTCGAGAATATGATGGTACAAGAGGATGTGAAGTGTGGTGTATTGAAGCCAAATGAGGTTACTTTTGTTAGTATTTTTCTTCTTGCACGTTTTTGGATTTTGGTGTGGCGTTATATCTAGGGAGGCAAGTACATGGTAAGGAATGAGGGGTTTGGTATATGCTTTGAAGGTATTTGATGTGATGGTTAGCAAGCAGGTTTGCATTGGAATGCTATGATTTCTTTCCTAGCTTTGAATGGTAGGGAGAAGCAAATGGGCTGCAACCAAATGAGGTACCTTCGTGGCAGTTCTATCAGCTTGTGCGAGTACCAAGCTTGTCAATTTCGGTTTTCAATTGGTTGAATCAGTGTCATGTGAATTCGGACTTGTAGCTAAGATGGAACATTATGGCTTCATGACGAAGATGCCTTTTGAAGCTGATGCTACTTTCTTGGGGGATCTGATGGGTGCTTGTAGACTTCATGGAGCCATTGAGTTGGGAAACGGAGTAGGTCAACTATTCCTTAAATCGCGACCGAATCATTCAGGGTGATATGTGCACTCTCAAGCATTTATGCTGGCGCAGAGAGGTGGAATCACACCGTTTCCTTAAGAAAAGCAATGTTAGATGCTGGAATACAGAAGGTTCCGGCCCACAGTTTTATTTAATAGAGCTGATAACTGTAGCAGCTTTTATTTGCAAAATTGTCGATGAGCCTGCTTGGTGATGAAATCTGGACTCTTCAAAATCAGCTAAAAGGATCCTTCATATTGGTTTTGCACAGAGATTGAAGCACTGCTTAATGAAAGCTGATGTCATAGCTTGACAGATCAAGGAGGATACATTTTTTGTGAAAATGAACAGCAAACCTGGTTCCAAAGTCTGCTTGGCGAGGTAATTCTTTTTGTTTTCTACTTTCATTTTTCTGAATCTTTTTATTTACCCTGAGAAGTTATGGAGCCGTTTGCTAGTTAATTAATCTGAACACTAGATGAGAGAGATTTAAGAATTCAAGTGATGTGAGGGATACAAGTTGTTGTGGAATTTCTCCGCCAATTTTGTTGGATGAGAGATCCAATGATTCAAGTACAGATAAATGTTGCATTGATGCTGGTATATGACCTTTCAAGTTATTATGAGAGAAGTTCAACGTACGAAGTTCAATTAGATCTCCAATAATACTTGGGATAGAACCTTCAAATCTATTCCTTGAGAGATCGATAATTATGTCCATAGTCAAAACTTGAGGAAGTTCAAGATCTAGTCCCTTTGTTGTCACTATCAAAGAATTTGTGTATAAAGTGGAATATGTTTCTGCTACATACTCTGGGGTTCCACTATTCTCACCAATCATTTTCATGGCTTGAAAATTCTCAAAAAGGCTCACAGGTAAATCTCCACTAAATCCATTGGATGAGAGATCTATTACTAGAATTTTAGCAAACAAGTTCTCAGTCCTTGAATCATTTATAGGGCCATGAAGCTTATTTAATCTCAAGTTTAAAATCTGCAAATCACACCATTTTAAGAATTTTGTGCAATTGATGTAGGTCTATTTTCACAATTCGTCTTATTAATTGGTTTGGATCTGCACTTCTTGTGATTTTAAGGTCTTACTTTCTGTCCCAAGTTGATAATTAGTGTCCTTTTATTTAAGTAGTGTCGACTTTTTTAAGCAAAAGAAGGTGTATGCCATGTCTTAATTTAGTTCCCATGAGCACAGAATAATTCAAGTTCTTGAATGTTATGAACATAATTTCTTAACTCTACGTATTCAAGACCTTAGAGTTAGAGTTAAGAATCAAACTCTTCGTGCCAGTCGAAAATCCTTTAAAGCTTGTTCCATTCCCTATCTATTGGGATATTTTTACACTTTCCTTTGAGCTTCCTACCACTATGAATAATTGGTGTATAAACCTTGACAACAAAATAATAATTGAAGGAGTACTTAAACAGAAAATCCACAACAGCTTCTGGACTGTTTGATGCAGGTGGAAATTGTCAGATAACAAATCCTATATAGCACATTTAAGTTTTGCTTTGAAATAATCAATTCCAGGAAGGTCCCCTAGTCATTTTCAGTCAGTTTTGGAGTTGTCAATTACACATTCACATTCAATGTGTCACACAATATGTAAAGACTGTTTAATCTTTCTCAAGTCATTGCACTGTAAGTCAAATAACATCCTCAAGTCAATTTAAGAAAGATTTAAATGAAAGTCCCAACACTTGTAATAACACATGCATTTTGTCTCCTAAGAAAAAGAAGATGTGTATAAAGTGAAGTGATACTCATATTAGGCTAGAGCAACGGGTGCTGTAGCGAAACTGATTGCAATATGATTGGAGACATTTGGAAGAAAACTGTGCATGTTTTGCCCAAAGCCAACAATATTACACTATATTAATTGTTTCTTCGTTTAGAATTTTGTGCAGTTGATGTCTATGTTAACAATTCGCCTGTAAATTGGTTTGGATCTGCACTTCTCGTGATTTTAAAGGTCTTATTTTCTGTCCTAAATTGATAGAAGTTTTTGCACGGATTGTCCCTATTTCGGGGTGGTCTTTGATTTTGTCGCTCAAATCGATGGTCTTTAATTTTTGCTCGTGCTTATCATTTAATGAAAGCTTGTTAGCAGGCCTTGCATGTATTTTAAACTGCGTGCTCTTTATAGTACGGGGCCTTGCATGTATTTTTAACCATTTGCTGTAACACAGGTATTTGATGCGATGGAGCAGGTTTGCACATGGAATGCTATGATTTCTTCCCTAGCATTAACGATGTATGTCAAGATTGCTGAAGTGTGTGACCATCTCATCTAAAAGCTTAAGCTATTATTTCATTATATTCGCAACAAAGATGAGAGTAAAAGGGGCTGCAACCAAATGAGATTGCCTTCGTGGCAGTTCTATCAGCTTGTCTGTGTGCCAAGCTTGTCGATTTCGGGTTCTAATTGTTTGAAGCAATGTCACATGAATTTGGACTTGCAGCTAAGATGAAACATTATGGTTGTGAGGTTGATCTACTGCAGGAAGCATACGACTTCATAAAGAAGATGCCTTTTGAAGCTGATGCTACTGTCTTGGGGGGCTCTGATGGGTGCTTGTAGACTTGGTGGAGCTATTGAGTTGGGAAATGAAGTAGCACAACTATTGCTTGAGTCGCAACAGAATCATTTTGGGCGTTATGTGCAACTCTCAAGAATTTATATTGGCGCAGAGAGGTGGGAAAGAACAATGTTAGATGCTGGAATACACAAGGTTCCAGCCCACAGTTTTAGTTAGTAGAGTTTAGTTTGTAAAATTGTCGATACGAAGTCATGACTCATCAAATTAAGCAGTTCTGCTGGATTTCTTCCTAAATGTGATATCTCTGCTAGGATTTAAACCTTAGTATCCAAGGTTGTTTCTCAAACTTTTCAACTGCTACACCAACTCTATTGTGGTCGTCATTATTATATATCGATGAATTTGGAACTGTTTTAGGAATTTGAATGTGCTTTCTACTGTTATTTCAAACTTTTTGCTCTACTGGTGTTTCCCTTTTGATCCCTTTGCATTTTATGAACTTGTTTTTTCCTCACAATTGAAAATGCTGAATTTATTTCTACATACTACAGATAAATGAAATCAAATTTTGTTGAGTTGCAACAGAATAACAAACTATGAAAGTAAAAGCTTCTATTTTTACATCCGAGCGATGCAGTAGACTTGAATCCTGCAGTTTTCAAAAATGAAGAATTAAAGTTAAAAGCTTTAACGATGAAGGAGGTAGAAAATTTATGGATATATAAAATGTAATCTTCTGAAGGATAGAGATTAAGTTGATACCTGGAGGTTACACACTAATGTCTTTTCTTGTGCCTTCTCATTCTCGTAAGAATTTTGTGTTCCAATTTTACATCCATCCTCGAAAACCATGCTGGATATTGAGTTGACAACATTATGTATATTATGGACAGTCCAATAACAAGTCCACAACCGTAACCCATGAGAACTGCCTGCCAACTGATCATTGATGAATCTCCCCCTCTTTCATCTAGCTCAACTGGATTCGTCGTTTGTGCTACCCCATCATCACCACCACAATCCTTTGAGAGTGGAAATCCACGTAACGCATCATTTCCTTGGTATGAACTATTCTCAAACGTATCAAATTGATTTCCTTTGGGTATGCATCCAACAAGATGATTGTGAGAGAGATTTAAGACTTCAAGTGATTTGAGGGATGCAAGTTGTTGTGGAATTTCTCCGCTGATTTTGTTGGATGAGAGATCCAATGATTCAAGTACAGATAGCTGGTGCAGTGATGCTGGTATGTGACCTTCCAAGCGATTATGAGATAGGTTCAAAGTACGAAGTCCAATGAGATCTCCAATAATGCCTGGGATATGACCTTCAAGTTTATTCCTTGAGAGATTGATAATAATCTCTGTAGTCAAAACTCGAGGAAGCTCAAGATCCAGTCCCTTTGTTGTCACTATCAAGGAAATTGTGTAATAATATAAACCTGTATCTCCTACATACTCTCGGGTTCCACTGTTTTCACTAGTTATTTTCATGGATTCAAATTTCTTGAAAAGGCTCACGGGTAAATGTCCACTAAATCCGTTAGATGAGAGATCTATGACTCGAATTTGAGCAAATAAGTTGTCAGTCCTAGAAACTTTTATAGGGCCAAAGAACTTATTTGATCTCAAGTTCAAAATCTGCAACTCAGGTAGGGCTCCCAACCATTTAGGAAATGTGTCACTCAACTCATTGTTACCTAAATCAAGAACTTCCAAAAATGGGCAATTGATCAAAGATTGCGGGACTTTCCCCTCTAGCTTATTCCCGTAAAATTTAATGACTCCAAGTTTGTTTCCTATACTAAAAGTAGTATTAATTGTCCCGCTAAGACTATTGTTGCTTAAATCCAAAACCTGAAGTCTACTCATCTCACCCAAACATAGTGGGATTGTTCCCTCCAAATTATTGCTGCCCAAATCTAGCACTTCTAGTGTTTTCAGATTGCAGATGGTTGAAGCAATCTGTCCACTGAGATTATTGTGCGAAAGAAGAAGATAATATAGCTCACGCTGGTTTAGGAGTGACTTTGGAATAGGACCTTGCAGCTGATTTTGTTTTAGAGAAACAGAAAAAAATGTTTGGGACTTGAACTCCTGAATGTTTCCACTGAAATGGTTATCACTCAACTCTAAAAAACTTAGTGAAGGGAGGGAGAATATCCAGGATGGTATAGTCCCATTCAAGTGGTTTGATGACAAGCTGAGTGATTGTAGGTTTTGCATACCACTTACATTAGAAGGAATGGGACCTGTTAGGGAATTGAATGAAAAATATAAGAATTGAAGTTGCGTCAAGCTTCTGTTAAAGGATAAGAACTCAAGTTGGCCATCCAAGTTGTTATGTCCAAGTGATAACACCCGGAGATTTCCAAATCTAAAGAAATCAGAAATTGGTCCTTCAAGATGGTTACAATCAAGGTTCAATTCCTCTATGTTGGTGAGATTCCATAGAGGTTTAGGAATAGAGCCTGAGAGATTACAAGAAAACAAATCTAATATACGCAGTGAAGTTAGATGACCAAATGATTCAGGTATCGTACCAGTAGCATTCACACCACTGAGATATAACTCCATGAGTGATGCACTGCTATTCCATTTGGTTGTGGGAAACTTAACAGTGAGCTGGGGATTGAATGATATATCAAGAGATTCCAAGTTGGAAAGGTGGAAAACTCCTTCGGGCAATGTCCCGTATATCTGCGTGTTCTGAAGGTGTAGAGTTGTCAAATAAGAAGAGAAATTCAGAGGAATGGTGGAAGAGATGTTCACAGAGCTAAGGCGGAGCTCTCTTAATTGGGTTAAGTTCTTGAGGAGCAGTTCAAAATTGTGAGGTTCGAATCTAAGCTCATATGGATCACTCTCGATACTAAGAACGTGCAATTTAGAAAGACGAGATATTTCTGCTGGGATTATACCTGTAAAAGTTGAATATGACAAATCAAGATGTGTCAAATTAGAAAGCTCACCAAATTTAGGTGAAATGAACGATCCAGAAAAATCATTTTCAGACAAATCAAGCCTTTTGAGATTGTAGAGTTTAAAGAGGCTACTGCTGGAATGAAACTCGCCTTGAAGTTGGCTGCGACTGAGATCAAGCTGAATCACTTGTCCTGTTATCTCGTCACACTTAACTCCATCCCATGAACAACAATCTGTGCTCTTATTCCATTTAACTGTTTTAGGATAATAACCACTATAAGAAGCATCAAGATTTATAGTAAACGTGTTTTTGAATTGAAGAAGAGCAAGGGCTTGATCATTGGGGCACAAATGAGGTAAAGATGAGGAGAAAACAAGTTGACACAGAAACGCGTATAGCAGAAACAATGCAAGTTTTTCAATGCCCATTTTCGCGCCTCAAAATATATATCAAAATTACTAAGTTATTCAATTCTTGCTTTGTGTCTCTATTCAATTATTCTGATGAGGTTTATATAGCACATAGCAAAAGGCAATTTTCTATGGTGATGTGCCAATGAAAAAGAAAAGTCTATAAGAGTATTTGTTGGTGCATAAACCTTGACCAAAACATTTTCCAATTTGGTTTGGTCATGTGCACAAAGGTTACTTTTTCTTTGGGAAAAAAAGTCTAATATACCCCACAACTTTGCGATTTAGAGTTGATATACCCTGTTACAAAAGTGACTCACATCTGCCCCTACCTTTTTATCTAATGGTAGTGAAAACATTAATGTTAAATTATTATTTTATTTTAAAAATAAAATAAAATTATGTAGATATGTATATATGATCCTTCTAGCAAAATTCAGAGTATATTTGATCTTTCTCACACATGATTTTTTTTACTTCTTTGATTTAATGTGTAATTTGAGTTTTTAATATCTCCCTTATAGATCTATTTGCTTATCATTGTTTGAGTCTCTTATTCTTATTTAATCTTTTTTTCCTTTCATTTTTACTGTAAAAATATGAGAATAGAAAAGAAAAAATGTGAATGGAAAATGAAAAAAAAAGATAGAAAAAAATTGAAAACTATTTGTGTCTATAAAAAATAAATAAATTGGGAAATCTATGATAAATTTTACAAGTAAATGAGTGAGAAATAAATTTTCCCATTAAGATAATAAATCCAAAAAAAATAAAAATCAAATAAAAATAAATTTATAATTAGATTTTCACTTCCGTTAGAGCAAATGTGAGCCACTTTGGTAATGATAGTTATATCAACTCTACATTGCAAAGGTAAAAATTCACGAAAGTTTTAATTTGTTGGGATAAGTGTATTGCTTAGTGTATAGATCTTGACAACAATATATCAAGTAAAAAATATCCATTTTTTATTAAATAACAATATCATGCTCAATTAAGGTTACCAAAATTAATTGGCTTTAAATGATGTGATGGCATAATATCTACGAAATATGTGAAAATGTGCGAGATGTTTTGTGTACACCGAACTCCCAAAATGAAAGGCGTTTTAATCACGAATATTATGTCATTCATTCAAAAAGAACAAACACTTTATGGAACCTACCATTTCCAAAAAATAAAGAATTAAGTAAAACATTTGAGGTAATAAACACTTGTAATTAAAATAATGAGAAAAATCTCAATTCAATGCACAAGTTATAGCACAAAAATTCAAATGTAATAATACAAAATTTTTGTCACTTGTAATAATACAATTTTGTTTTGATTCATCACAATCTCAACTTTCTGCAAGTAATCCTAACCCAGCTATAACGCAATGCAGAATATTTCACCTTGAGAATATTATCTTCGACCCGATTATTACGCAATGCGGAATAATGCACCTTGAGAATATTAATTTTTTTTTTTTTTTGGTTTTCCATCTGGTGGTGTCTGGTACACACATTGAAGCCTGACTATTTTAAATTCATGTCGTGCACTATATAGGGCCCCATTCTTGGAAGGGGGGGGGGGGGAGCGCTCTCTATAAGTTGAAAAATTTAAGTTAAAAGTTTGATTACGAAAATACCCTTAATCTATTAATTTGTTTTCTTAAAATCATTTTAAAAAAAATACGTTTTCATTTAAAATCAACTCCATAACTGCAGCTCTTCATTTTCATAACTTATATCAATAATATTTATTGATATTGCTGCTTTAACTCACACATTCTAATAATATTTTAGGAAAAAGTGACAAGTAAAAGTGAATGGAGGGAGTAGCTATCAAACGAGCCCTAAAAGCAGGACAAAGTAGACTTTGAGTCTTTGTCCTTTGTAGGGAACCTCAGTTTCCAGCTTTGGGACCAACTTTTAATTTGGTTTAGACATATTCCAATTGAGTCAACTCTCTATAAATGAAAGTAAACATACATGACGACTATGGAGACATTATATTGATTGAATTTTTTTGTTGATATTTCCAACTATCTATACCGGGGAGAATTTACGTAGGAAAGTGAGAGTGATATGACATTTAAACACTAGGCTTATTTATCTACATATTATATTTTTGCTCTTTTTTTCCTATGGAAAAGATAGCCAAAAATTTAATTCTATGTGAGTTTAATTTTAAAAAAATTCTTTCTATTCTCCTAATCTTTACTTGTTTGTTGATATTTCTTTTGGCTCCTATTTTTTTCTTATAGAAAAGGGGTAATTGTTCATTAAAATTATTTTTCTCATTTATTCAAGAAAAAAATGGGTTGAGAGAATTGCAATGAATTATGCCAAATTTATTTTATTAGTCCATTGACGTGTATTTATTTATGAAGCAATTTTTTTTATAAATTGAATCGAATTAACACAAAACAAAATGAACTGATCAATGTATGTCTTAATTGAATCTCCATAACTAGTAGTTACTTTACATTAAAAATAATCGTACTCGAAACCTTCAAATTCTGAATAGGCCTTTGAACTACAATGCTATGTGGTGTTTCTGTCTACAACTAACTTATCTTGTGATAGATCTAAGGGGATTCAACATCTATAAGATTTGGAAAAAATTTCACACGACTAAATTCTACTCAATGGATTCAGACTACAATCACAAAAAAACAAAGTGGATACAATCTATAGTCCGCCACGATAAGTGAATGCTTAAATTGTAAAAGTGCAAGGGTGAACTCTAGCCATCTTTCACCGGCCACGAGTATCACTAGCCACGAGTATCAAATAACTTTATCCACCAAAGATAGAAGAGGGGGAAAAATAACTACTACTTTGATATACTATTTGATTTTATGCAAGATTAATTACATCTAAATCCAGGCATAAATACAATTATGTAACCTATTGAATGTCATAAATGTCACAATCACAACTTGGTGCAAGTAGTCCTGACCCAATTATTACAATCTAGAAATCTTATTTATCAAATAGTACTAGATCTAATTATTGCGTAGTCCTACGTAATGCGGAATAATGCACCTTGAGAATATTAGCTTTAACAATTGGGGACAATTATTTAATCATTCTAAATTAGAAAAAGCCACAAGTACCCCTTAAACTATGACTGAAATTTCAAAGACACACTATATTTATGGGGGTCCTATTATGACCCTAAACTTTTTTTCCTCTATATTTCTTAGCACCTTATGTGCTGATGTAGAGCCGCAACTCAATCATTTAGTTGTGGTGATATACACGTGACACCACATATATATGTTTTTGTTACAAAAAAATAGTCCTTTTATTTTCTTTGCCTGATATATAAAATAAGTTAATATACATAATATGGTTTTTTTTCTTTTCTTTGCCTTTGTATTTAAAATTTTCTCAAACACACGTAATATATGTTTCATTTCGTTACCTTCTTTCATTGGTTTCTCTTGTTTTTCTATTTATTTTATTTTCAATGTCTTTCCTTTGAATTTGATTTCAAATTTAATTTCAGTGTCTAATATTTAATATAAGTTAATTTTAGATAGATGTCAAAGATTAAAGGAAATCAAATAAAACATGTAAAGATTACAGCTTTAAAATAAATGACACTTTTTTTTTAATTTTTAATTTTTTCCATATAATTCATAGCTAGGTAATTTATCCGCGAAGCATAAATGATTTTTCTAAGCTTTTGAACAATCTTTCCAATGTTATTGTTACTTTGTTACTCTAAATTTTTTTATAGAAGTAGAAAAATAAATTTGAAACAACATCAAAATAATATTGTTGACCCTTTTACAAATTCATTCTACATTAAATTGCTGCTCTGAAGGCCCTTCTAGATGCTTCATCAATGCAACTTTACGACTTTTTCAGAAATATGTATGTATAATTTTTGAAAGTACAAGTAGATCAAAATATTGGATTCTAGACTCATGCTAAATAAATATTCTTGAACATTATAAAACTAAAAATAAGTCTAACCTAGATAACTCAAGCGCTCATCAATGACTTGGGACATGAATGACAACAAATCTCTGTAAATAGACATATCTTTTGTAGCTTAAGATATTACTTTTATTTAGAGCAGGTTTTGTTTCATATCCTTCAAATTAAGCTTGCCAAAAATAGTCATAACTCACAACAAAAATATTTAGAAGAGCCGAATGTGAAGGAAAAAAAAGAAAAACATTAAAAGGGCGAAAGTTTTGTCCAAGTGAGATCATGTACATACCAAACGAAGAATATTCAATACAATTTTAAGGAGACAACAAAACAACGAGAAAAAACTTACATTAAAGGGAGTAAACTATGAGATATCCAATGATGATAACAAATCATTCTAACCAGAAAAGTTCTCATGTTTTGAAATAACATACCTCAAAAAATTGACGAACACTTCAATCAACTTTCAATTCTTAAAGTACTAATAATATCCACTAATAAAATTTAGTAAAATAGATAACAACAACATAAAAACCCAAAAATATGGGCATGCAAAGTTATTAACTCTCAAAGGATTTTTTAAAGAACACAAAATCTCATCCTTGTATGTGAAGAATTGACGTTGTTGATGGAGAAATTAGAGATTTGTAAGGGCTTTTTTTTTATTGTACCTTCTACAATTCCAGTAGAGAAAATTTGCTTGAATACTCAATTAGCGTTTGTTATTTAATTTGTACTAACAAATATGTATAACAATAATTCTGCAGTAACATAAACAATAAAGCTTAAAGAATGTACTCAAAATAACAATTAATAATATAAGCATAAATTAATGATTGTAAAAAACATATCAGAATCTGTAACAATAGAATGAAACAGAATTGGAAAAATCGAGCCCATTGAATGCACAACCGTTACCCGAATTCACGCAACTGTGTCCACAGCCCCCAAAGATATTTGATGGACTGGCAGGTCAGCCACGTAATTTATCCAGTGCCTCCTTAAGGAAATTATTCCCCTCTAGTATCCGAGGTTTAAAAGAATAGATCCTCTCAGGATAGAACAATTCTATTCGATGTATTGATACAAAAACAATGGTGTCAGTGAGTCATTCAAC